TAGTTTTGTTGGAATACCAAAAGTGGACATAATCATCCTTAATTTCTTCCTTATTATTGTATCATATGCTTGTTTAAAATCTATGAAGCATAGGTAAATATCTATATTAAATTCCCAGCATTTCTCCATTATTTGTCTCAGGGTGAATAAATTGTCTATTGTTGACCTATTGGGTTGAAATCCTGATTGATATTCCCCTATTATTTTTTCTATATATGGATCCAGTCTCTTTTTTAGTATCCTTGTTAAAATTGTATATGCTATCAGTAGTAATGATATACCTCTATAGTTGCTACATGTTAATTTATCCCCTTGTTTAGATATGGGACATATAATGCTCTTTCCCCAATCTTCTGGTATCTTTTCTTCTTCCCACACTTTATTTATAATTCTGTGGAGTGCTATTATTCCTTCTTGTCCTCCTGCCTTCAATAATTCTGCTGGTATGTTATCTCCTACTGGTGCTTTATTTAGTTTTTGTTCCTTTACTGCTTCTTCCACTTCTTCCTTTGTTGGAGGCTCTATTATCTCTTCCTCTTCCCCTTCCCCATGTGTCAGGAGATTAACTTCCATAATTTCAGGTCTCAGCTTTCTGTCAACTTCTCATATAAAGAAGAACGGTATCTTAGTATCGCCATGTATGTGTGTGTCTTTTCACCCAACCCATGTCATTAATTTTTTAATTAAATGACAAATTTTAATGAAACTTACTGTGATTATCATACTGTTACAAATCATCCCATGTTTGTCATTAAAATTTCCCTTCATTAAATAACACCAGCGTGGTGACTATGCAAACGTCTGTGGTGGGGCACGAACCCCCATAATGTATTATTGTGAAGTTTCATGTGGTAATGGAATCTTGAAAAATATGTAACCTTTGTTAGGGCCACGTTTTTCTTTCCTTGTGTTTATGGATTAGGTCATGTAATACTTTGTACCGGCCCCAAGCTTTTGATAGAGGACTTGTCAGTAAGCAGGGTAAGTAAACCAATTTTGATTCTTAATGTGTAATAGAATATTATAGCCTTGTATTTTTATTTAGCTTCCAGTTTGATAGCATTAACAGATGACCCGTTGTAACTTGTGAAGTGTGTTATGAGAATGCATGAACATACTTCCAAATTTTGTGTATTATGGTTTTTGATTCTTAAATATTTATGGTCATGGTGGGGGCCCAATGTTTGACGTTTTGTATGGCAACTTCCCAGCACTGGGAATTTATACTCATTAACTTACTCATGGAACTAAGCCCTTCTTGAGCAGCCATCAATTCTGCAGCTACTCAAGAATTTCCCAGCATTTTATGGAACCCGAAGGTTCGTTACCGTGTTCGCAAGAGCCCTCCATTGGTTTCTATCCTGAGCCAGATCCATCCAATCTGTACCATCCCATCCTATCTCTCTAAAACCATTTTAATATTGTCCACCCACCAATGCCTTGATCTTCCCAGTGGTCTCTTTCCTTCTGGCTTTCCCACCAATATCCTATATGCATTCCTCTTCTCCCCCATTTATGCTACATGCCCTGCCCATCTCTTCCTCCTTGACTTGATCATTCTAATCATACTTGGCGAAGAGTACAAGTTACGAAGCTCCTCATTATGCAGTTGGGAATTTATACTATTAGAAATTACAGACTACTGAACAAATGAATTCAGGCTGGATCAAGATGTGGGTAGGTCCATAACTGCAAGATTATGATTATGATGATTACAGGGACAAAGAGGATATAAAACCATAAACCATTTTATTACAGACTGTTTTTTAACAAGATGTGGACTTATAATTTTAAGTTTCAGTTTTTATTGTCATCATTTGAAAGACAAGCAAAGCATTTATATCACATTGTGCATCCATATGTTGGAAACTGAGATCAAGTTTCTTGGTGCTGTGAAATGGTTTTATAGGGATAAATCTGGCAAGAAATCAATCTAGCATTTACCATAAGGGACCGGAGAAAGTGTCAGGATAGCTGGAGTTCAGTAGGGATACATGCAATCTGAGTACAAGCCAGATACGGTGTCACTCTGCCAAGAATTTTAGTGATGTGTTTTGAATCCAGCCGTGAAGTACTTGTTTGGGGTATGATTATTTCAGATGAGTATAATGTTACTTGATGTTTTCAAGTTGCAGCCTCACTTGAGATGTTGTACAAGTGACTTTATTCTATTGATGAGCATAGTTTGAGAACAGGATGTTGAGGAGAATGCTTGGACCGAAGAGAGATGAAGTGGCAGGAGGTTGGAGAAAATTGCATAATGAGGAGCTTCATAACTTGTACTCTTCTCCAAGTATAATTAGAATGATCAAGTCAAGGAGGATGAGATGGGCAGGGCATGTAGCATGAACGGTGAGAAGAGGAATGCACATAAATATTGTTGGGAAAGCCAGACCACTGGGAAAACCAAGGCATAGGTGGGTGAATAATATTAAAAAGGATCTTAGATTGGATGGGATGGATTGGATTGATCTGGCTCAGGATAGGAACCAGTGGAGGACTCTTGTGAACATGGTAGTGAACCTTTGGGTTCCATAAAATGCTGGGAAGTTCTTGAGTAGCTGCAGAATTGGCTCCTCAAGAAGGGCTCAGGTCCTTGAGTGAGTGAGTGATTACCTATGCATTCTGTTTGCAGTGAAGTAATTGAAGTGGTTTGTTAATTAAAATCTGTAAACTTGGTTGCAGTCTTTCAACCTACAAATGGACTGCACCCAACTCATGGTAAATAGACCATATGTCAACCCTTAAACTTTGTTGTGTCTGTCTATTCCACCTGTTGCCACTAAAATATTTATAAAGTACTGGAGAAAAACATCGCATGATTTGGATGGGGGCTTCAGAGGTTTTCTTTTTGTGTCTGTGTCGTTCCTACCATACACTGTCACGGAACAGTGGACAGTAGATGGGGGGGGGGCATTGACGTGTTTCTCATGCTGTTCTAGCCACATAAATTATTCAGTCGTGATTCTTTCCATGAACATATATCTTCATTTTTCCAGTGTGCCACTTGTACACTTCAGTCGATTCTTTCAAGAGAGCGAAATGAAAGAGGATTATTTTGGCTTTAACACACAAGAATTGGGATGTAAAAATAATAACAGTTTTAAGTTTACATGATAGATCCTTGTATTCACTTCCTCATTTTACATGTCTAGCAAATAGAAATTGGTTAGCAATCTTTACATTACAGTAGCAAAAAATCCTAGTGGCTACCCTTGGGTTTATTTGAAAGTTTCACCTATACACTTGCCATTGCCGTAAAAAATATAGGCTCACTCAAAGGTTAATTACATTTCAAGTCTAAAGTTTCTGTGAGAGCAGAAAAAGTGTCAGTATTCATCAAATTGTTGTCCTGAAATATAAGAACAACATTTGATATACAAAATATTTGATGTTATAAAGTTTTTTTTTTAAAGTTATTATTCACTGTTTATACTTTATTTCAGTTCTTGCTACCTTGAAGGTAAAAAAAATATATATACCTCATGTTCACCATTCACATTTTTATTATTGTTTTTCTTATTAATACTGTTTGATTTCTTCTGTATTTTATTTTGGTGAGCAACATGAAATTCTGACCCACTACGTATGTGGTGTCTTTGTAATCCAAGTTTATGTCAGGGATTTCAGTTAGAACTGTGCAGTACAGCTGAACACAAGTTCAACCGTCAGTAATGTCCTATATTAGCCATTATCACAAGTATATAACACCTAGAGAAGAAATCTTAAGTATAACATTATCAAGTATGACTTATACAGTGTGTCCGTACTTAACATTATGTTCTAGGTTCTCTTTAATTTATTTTATATGCTCAGTGATGATATAATGCCATAGATCTGTACTCTGTTTCTTTTGTTTTCCATAAATTTGGCACGTGTATCAAATTAATATTGCTATTTTAACAGATTTCGCTAATGGTATCATTAGTCAAAATTGTACTGAAAGTGAACATGGCTTCATTTCCGGTAATATATATGTTGTGGACATCCTTTATGTGTCACAAATTGTGGGTCACATCATCATCTTTGGCATTTTAAACAGTCAGTCATAAATATTTAGTTATAGATCATTGAAGCATGTTATTTACATAAGAACACATTTTATGTACTGCTGTAACTTCCAGAAACATGTATCTCTAAATTAGACAAGTACATCACCATGAATGGATACTGCCTATGATCAATATAACAGAATTGGTTAATTATGTCATAAATCAGTGTGCAATTGGGAACCATTAGAGCATGATATTTGCAAGTAGGGTCTGCCTCACGTCGGATGATGCACAGAGCTGGACTGCGCATAGCTTATTGGTAATTTCCCATGGTGGCAGTCTGTCGCTCGTAATTAACTCACAAGTCAAAGCCAGATGAGGCCTTTGAAACATTAGAATATCATTTCTGAACTTGGCATTCTAGCGTTATTTTATTTTTATTTCTTTGTAAGTAATTATACTAAAAGGGAACGGTACCAATGGTAGCTAGCGTTTTCATGGTAGACAGTTATTATGCTGACAGTTGAAAAGGTACACTTTGAAAGTGGGTTTAAAAAAATTTCTCTCTGTAGCAACTTAACAGTAACGGCTTCCTTTGCATTACGAGGGTACATTTCAAAAGAAATATGATGATTTAATTAAGTGAGAACAGCCACATTAGAACTAGTGTAAGTAACATCTATAGCAGAGGCAGAGTAAAATAAGGGGCAGACCTTGGTATGTGAAGTTAAGGAAATTGGTATATATTTGTATCTTGCTTTTTGTTGTATTTGAACAGTGTTCTTACTTTATCTGCAGCCAGGATAGGTCAGTTAATATAAAGATTAACCTATGAGCTGAACAGGATTCATTTTCAGGCAGTGGCATAGATTTTCTCCATCTAGTGCCATTGTTAAGAATATACTTCTATTCCCCCATACATCTTTATGGTGTGGTGAAAACTGGAAGCCCATGTTATCCAAAATAGCAGCTTTTCATTTTATTCCTATTAGCTGGGACCAGTTTACTGTATAATATTGTCTTTATTCAAAGACTTTCCTTGTATTATACAGGGTGTTTCACGACTTTAGGGCATAACTGCAGGAGGTGATTTCCTAGGTCTTTGTGATCAAAAAAGTTCATATAAACATGTGTCTGATTTTGGACAATTATGGAGTCATGACCGTTTTTTCATTCCCGTACACGCCCTCGTGTGAACGGCGTCTGTCAGCTGGCACGTCGCTATTTTTAGCCAGCTACAGACAGAGCCCTCTCGTTATCTCGACACTTGAGATGTACCTAAGGCGGGGAGGGTTGGTATGTCCGTCGCGGTTCACAACCGAGCGGCAGCCTGTGTTGCTGCTGGCGGTGGCATTTTCGAAAATCAGCTTTAAGCGCCAGTGAATTCAAATTAAAGGTAATATCACGAAGTCAACTTTACATTCATACTTTAAATGAATCATGTATTATGCTGGTTTATTATTTTGTTCCATTTATTGTCGGTAATCGTTACCTTCTATTCTGAGTTTAATACAGTAATAACTCCGTAACCGTCCAAAAATCGGACACACGTTTATATGAACTTTTTTGATCACAAAGACCTAGGAAATCACCTCCTGCAGTTATGCCCTAAAGTCGTGAAACACCCTGTATGTGTTTCAAGTAGTCATATATTTCTCTTTAATTCCCCCATGAAACACTAGATGATTGGTTGAGTAGATAGTGCTCATCCTTGGTATTTTGGATATTCTGGGTTCCAGTTTCAGCCTTGACAGGGACCAGTGCTGCTCTGGGCACTGTGGAAAAGAGGAAAATCTCTTGCCTCTGCTGGTAATCAAACCCCAATTCCAAGGTTGAGAAAGTACATTATTAAAATGGAAAATAAGTAAATCACATGGTACAATTATATTGTTTTCATGGCACACCAGTATGCTGCACTTTTGTAACACTTATTAAATTAGCTGATGAGACAATGGCCTGGCAGACCTCTCTGTTGTAAATTAAACCCATCAAAAAGTATAGCTTTTCCTACACATGACAATCATTGACCTCTGGCATTGACATTTATATTGCCAGAAACTTTATATGCTCAATTTCGTAATCATCTCTCGATGCTTCATCTAGGTCAGGAATGATTTCTGCTATTGTTATTCAGCATACATGTTAACTCAGCTCTGCATTTTTGGTATTATATCAAAACAGTAGAAATGATGCGTAATTTCCTCATCAATCAGTGTACTGATATTTAAGTTTGGGCATTCTTGGTCAGTGAGGCAGGGACATCTTATTACAGCTTCATTATTTCAGAAGTGTATGTTGAAAAATAACATGCTCTGATATTCATGAACATATCTTTGTGTTCATGGTACTTGAAATGATCAATCATTCTATTGACTGAAACATGATTTTTATGTATTTAATGGGCATTATCCAATTTCCTTATGATTATATATTGCTGTCCTATGGGAACCATACTTTAGTATCTGGGCGAATGTCACCACAAATCACCAATACTTGACATACTTCTAACCTCAATGTCCTGTTGTCGACTGTATTCAACAGCTTGGCGTCTTCTACGTTTTGCACAGTGTGATATTGCCATGGCAAATGCACCTGCCATGGCAAGTCCCACACCCAACAAAACAAACATACTAGGATGTGAACCCGAGAACAGAGATGTTGAAATGTTCTCCTTAATTGTTACGTGTACACTTGAAGCAAATGCATCACTAGCATGGCTACTGTAAAACACAGACTTGTCTCCTATGGCAAGAGTCACATTCTCAAAACCTAGTTTCTCTGCATCGAGGTATGAAGTTACTTTAGGTTGCTGTTCTGTAGTAATGTCACTTTTGCCGTATATCTTGTTGTAAGTAACACTCACACCATTGTTCATACCACTAATTGTCGCATTGCCATGTTCTGATACCACAACTTTCTCTAAACTCACAGAGTTGTATCTGTCTCCAAACTTGAGTTTATTTACATAAAAGCCTGTAGGAACCATGCTAGAATGGTTCCTATATGCAGAGTTGTGAACAGAACTATTTGATGGGCTTTGGACTTGAATTTTGGAATTTGAGGTGGAATGGTTAGTAGTCATGTTTGTGTTCATGTTATGGTAATTGAATTCGGTGTAATGTACAGATTTATATGTAAGATCTGAACTTTCATTTATGTGATTTTCTGAAGTTTTGTTGAAAAGACTTGCCTCTAGTGGACTGGTGTTATCTCTGGTTACGTTTTCTTGAATGTCTGATCTCAGAGACTCATCTCCTTGTATGATGTTATTAAGAGACTTGTGATGATAATGTTTACATTTTGGGGGGTCTTTGTTGGTGAAAGTTTGTTTAAGTACTGTATCATTGTTCATGGAATTTGAAGCAACTTTGTAGAGGTTCAGATTATCATGTACACTTTGAATGGGCTCAGTACTTGGAAGAACGCCCTTATTCTTCGAGTTACGAAAGAATTTGTGTTGTGTCCAAGATTTGTTTGGGAAAATATTTCTTGTGGAGTTTGATGGAATGTTGATATATATCTTATGGTTTTCAGAGTGTGTTACGTTTATATGCAGAACTGTGATTGTAGTTTTTGAAGCAATACTTTGATTTTGTGTAGTAATATTTTTAATATTATAGGATGATTTTTCATTTCTCTCTGTTGAGTTTTCCCCTGTGAATAGAAATTTTTTTTCATCATGTACATTTTTGTTCATTACTTTGAACTGAGCTTTTAAACCGGGTGTAGTTAGAAATGTTACTTGATTCTGTTCTGTATTGTCATTAGTTGGATAGGTCATTGTATAGTTTTTGGTTGGAGAAACTGCATTATGAATACTATAGTTGCTGGATACTTCATCTACAGATAAAGTTCTTGAAGTTCTGATGTCTGTATAGTGGGCAGTCTTAAAATCATCATCAAAATCAGATCTGCTTGTGACTGATAATGAATCACTGGAATTGATGTTAGTAACGAAGTTATCTTCATAAACCGCGGTAGTATTGAATAAGACTTCTTCTGATTCTATGAAAGTGGAAGGAATTGCAAATGCATTATTGGCAGTGGAAGAATTTTCAGGTTGTGTGGTTGTGGGAACATTGTTTGTGGCATTGAAAGGTGACATTTCAGCTGTTTTAAATGTGGTTGTTGTTGAATTGCTGTTGGTATTGAAGTGCTGTATAGAGTGTGTAGGTAGTTTGGTGAATAATTGTTCTCGTGACTGATTATCCAGAGAACCTTCAGGGAGAGGAGTGAAAGGTGTTATGTTATGAGAGACCACTGTATTGAATATTTTGAAAATTGAAAACATTTCTGTTGTAACTGATGCATCGTACCTGGTTTCTGTAGTTGCTTCATAAGTGTTGCTTTTCACTGGCATAGAGAGGAATGTAGATGGTTGTGTGCTGCTGGTTGTGATGTTGAAATCTTCGTCATGAATATGGATGACAGGTCTAGAAGCAAGATGTGGAGGGGATGCACAGTAGGCATCCTGAAGGGAGGTTTCCAATTCCTGTTGCTGGTGTTTCTGCTGTTGACGTACCCAGTTGGCCAGCCAGAGCATGTTCTCACATTCCCACAGGTTCCCGTTTAACCGGAGTGTACGGAGCCGTGGGAGGAAGTGGAACAAATCAGACCGAAGATTTGTCAGTCCAGTGTTAACGAGATTTAACTCACGAAGTTGACGAAAGGCCGCAAGAGCAGCCGTATCAGCCAGAAGCTGTTCAGCTAGAACTGGGCTTGAATCAAGTTCTAACACTTCTAACCTCTCAGGCGATGTAACTGGGAAAGACATCTCTGTAGCATTAGATGCAGAAGAACTAATGCCGTCAAGATGCGACAGTCTAAGAACAGTCATTAGTGGTCCTGATAGAGCATTTCCTGGAAGACTTTTCAGAGGATTATCTGACATATCTAAGATCTCCAGTGCTGTCAACTGATTGAACGCACCATTCTGTATGATCATGATACCACTACAACGCAGTGACAAAAATTTGAGATGAGGAAGACCTTGGAGGTCACTTGAGTTCAGTTCTTGAATGCGGTTGCCCTGTAGATGGAGGGTTATTAACCCCGACGGCAAGCTCCGTGGTACGGTATGGAGATGGTTGCCTGACAGATACAGAGTGGAGAGCAGTTCAAGCCTTCCAAGGGCGTCTTCTTCCACTTCTTCTATCTGGTTGTCAGCAAGATTCAGAAGTTGAAGAAGAGGGTAGCTGTCCAGGTCTCCACACTGGACGGTGGTCACCGAGTTTCCCGCTAATTGTAAAGTACGGATAGATCTCGTGAGCGCTGCCGGAACTTGAGTGAGACCTGATCTTGATACGTCCACGGCTTGAAGTCTCCGGCCTGTCCCTACCAGGACCATGAGCTCCTGTCTCAAGCGGCCCAGCACCGGGTTGTCGGCCAGTAACAGATCCGTGAGTCCGCCCAACGACTGGAACGTGCCGGGAGACACACTGGAGATCCGATTACATGACACATCGAGCTGCTGGAGATGCATGAGACCGCAGAAACATTGATCACTAAGCGTTTCCAGCCGGTTTCCACTCAAATTAAGTCTTTGGAGATTGTTAAGTTCTTTAAAAACACCATTATCAAGGGAAGAGATGTTGTTTTCGGATACATCTAATTGCTGGAGACTTATCAGCCCATTGAAACAGTGTTCCTGTAGAACCTGAAGGTTGTTCCCAGCCAAGTTAAGCGTCCTTAGACTGTGAAGGCCGCCAAATGCATCGGTGTTTAAAAGCGATATCTTGTTAAACGACAGATCGAGGAAATATAGAGTGTTGTTGAGACCGCTAAACATACTCGGCAAAACAGCTGAAAGCTGGTTTTCACTGAAACTCAACATTTGTAGCGCTGGAAGACATGCAAACGCATCTTCTTCCAAATTTGAAATGTTATTGGAAGATATATCCAACACCTGAAGACTCCGCAGGTCTTTCAGCCAACGAGTACTGACATCAGAAATAGAGTTCCCGCTGAGATTTAACACTTTTAAAGAACTCATATGAGTAAACACTCCTTCGGGCATGTTCGTAATGAAATTAGATGTGAGATGCAGTCTTGTCACGCGATCCAAACTCGCGAATTGTCCGCTCTTTAGGGCGCGGATACGACAGTTTGTTAAGGCCAGTTCTGTGAGGGTGGGAAGAGTTACCCCGGCGACGTCTGCAATGATGTCAGGTCTTGACGTGTTAAGAACCTCAAGGCTCCTCATGGACACCGGAAGATGACGCAGGTCGCTGTCGATCCCTGCGCACGAGGCAGCCGTCGCGTTCACGCACACACACTTAATGGGGCACGAACTCGGTTCCGTCCCGCCGTCTGCCTGCACCACTACTAACACTAGCGCGGTTGCTAACAACTTTTGGGCCATGTTGTTTTAAAACACGCGATATAGGGGGATGTCCATTGTCCTGTTGGGAAGCTACTTAAGGTAGTTCACATGTCTCACTGCGTTGATCGTTTCTGTGAAGTGTGAAAGGTCATTTTGTCCTCATGCCTTCGATATATCGTTATTTATTCGACTTTTAATTAAATCAGATAAACAAAAATGTACTGTCAGCAGTGCAAACATATTCATTCATAAAAATAAAATACAGTGCATAGGTATGTTTTATTTTGTCGAGATTAATTTTTCATTTGTTTATATAAATGACGCAATAAATAAATAGTTTTGCACATCCGTTCATTAGTATGTATTTTTTTGGCAACACTTGTTGCTGTGGGGACAATAATTTAAAGCGCAAATGTGAATAGATCCGAAATAAAAAAAAACAATGCGATATATTGTGTTTCGTGAGGCTTAAAATGTCAATGTAAATTAGTATGTCAGTCTACATGCCTGAACTTTGGGTGTGATGAGTGCATTCAAGTTCTCTTGGGGACACTGAGAACGCTTTCGCAGACCTGCTACGCTCTGGCGGTCAGTTTTTGCTGACATGAGTAGACAAAAGTGGCGGATTTGCGCTGTAAGGGAGACAAGACGAATATAAACAAATACGTAATGTGCTCTAATGAAACTGAACAGCGTAGCATGTTGGCAAAACACAAATTAAATTTGAATCGCTGTATTAGTTCTTTTCGCCGACAAGGGAAAGACATGTCAGCTGATTTTTTTTTAATTCGTTGTATCCTTTTGAGTTTGTTAACCATACATGGTCACGAAATCCTTACGTAATGCACATCCTTTGTTTTTACCACATAAAAGATGACACTTTCTGCACTGATGACTCGTTAAAACAGTGAATTTGTTTCGTAAACGATACGAATTATTCAGCTCCATTGTCACTGAACTTTAGAAGCAAATTACTGTCTTTTATTTATTTATTTTCTGTTTAAAGATGAGCTTTAGACAGATTTTTTCCCGATTTCACAACACACTTAGCTCCATTAACTGTGTTCACACTTAAAGCACTTTCACGAAGAAAATTGTCTTTAAAACTATTCTCGAATAGTTCAGAAGAACGGAAGAACAACTTTTTTGCAAATTATTATATGATAATTGTTTCGAAACATTACATTTCGAATTAAAAAGTTAGTTAGTTTATTCACATGTTGGTCACTATTCGTAATTGGAAAACACAAATGTTGTTATTAAGTTACTGGATTTATCTCACGATATAGAATTGATGTAACTTCGGCATGGCGCGAATACGTGACGTCTAATTGAAAGGAAGAGCAATTCCTTGCGAACAGGTTTGAGTGAAATATCCTTTCAGGACTCTGCCAGTTACTTATTACGTTAAATCCTTTCGAGGATTAGTTCACATCCGATCTTGTCGAATATCAGCTCACAACTGACTCACAGCCAAGGGGGAGAGAGAATTTGTCTCCCCTCTGATGATGATGTCAGCTACCAACCCTCTCACCCGCGCCAACTACCCCCTCTGATGTTGTGTTGACTCCCTATAACCGCCCTTAACCGTGCCTGTGCTCTTGACCGTTCTGGTCCCAAGCTCCCGGTCTACTGGCACTCAGCGACCCAAGACATAGAGGCACTCGCGCAACCAACCCCGCCACTTTAGTCGTTTTTACCACCACTACCGGCACCCCTTTCTCCTCTGCCGTACCGGCTCTGCAAAACATGAACGGTGTAAGTGGATTCGTGTTGGTTTCCGGCGTCCCTCACCTGCTGTGTAAGGAGACATTGCATTCGATGATCGTGATTAATAAAACGTGTATAAAGTTTGTTCCTGTGCCATGAAGACGCATTGGGGAGTGGATGTATAGATCCACGTTTTCTTGACCTCGGCACTAGTTGGAGGTGAGTGGCCAGGTTCACACCTCGTCCGCTTTATTCCCGGTGAAAGAGTCCCTGGTACCCAATGCATAGGAAGGCAGGGGGGCTCCAGAGGCGGTCTGAATACTGCGGAGAAGAAAAAAGAATCTTGCCTCTGCCGGGAATCGAACCCCGGCCACCCACCCCGTAACTTTGACGCTATACCAACTGAGCTGTCTCCGACTCCAGCGTGTTTAAGGGAAATTATCGTTCTTGAAAGACGAAAGGAGTTTATCGGGCGAATGCAGATGGACACAGCAGTTTCTCTGGTTCCGGAAAGTCATGACTTAATCCTACAATTGATAAAAGATCTGATTTCGTTTTCTATAGCAATTGAGACAAATGGGACCAGGGATAGTGCAATCGCTATAGCGACTGGCTGGGCGACCGACGGATCGGTGTTCCGAGTCCCGGTGGGCTCAATTTTCATGTCGTCCAGACCGGCTCTGGGACCCACCGAGCCTCCTTTCCAGTGGGAAAGGGGGGCTTTTTCCACGGGGATAAAGCGACCGAGACGTGAAGCTGACCACTCACCTCCAATTAGTGCAGAGGTCAAGAAAATGTGGATCTATACATCCACTCTCCAATATGTCTTCATGCTTAACTAATTACGCATAAGGACGTTGCCTTATTGAGACAAACGATGTTGGTATAGGACGGTAGAAGTAGTATATATATACAGTAAAACTTGGTTATAGCAACATCGGTTTCTGCGACACCTTGTCTATTGCGTCAAATATTCAATGGTACGAACTAATTCCTCATAAAGCAACTGTTTTTATACCTTGCTTAGTACGACATGCACAAATGCATCAACCTCGTATGTAACGTCATTTTCATTCCTGAATTTCTCTGATATCGTGGGAAAGTTCGATGTGTCTGCCCACCCTCACTTTCTCTACTTGCTGACGTGACTGTCCTGGAAGAATACGACCGCGGGCTGCAAGAGGAGCGTGGGTTTTATGCGAAAACAAGGGTGTGGGGTGGGACTGCGTGAATAGTGCAAGAGGACGCGGCAGGTTGTTAACTGCATTCCTTTCCTAGAATCTCGTCTAACAGGACCTCACATTGTCTACTTACCCTATAGTGTTCCTGCCTAAACCCAGAGAAGTGCAGTAGCGAAAACATGGCAATGAAAAGGAAAGTTTTAAGCATTGAAGAGAAAGTTAAAGTGATTCGTGAAATACACTGTGTATTGTCAGTGAAAAGCGCTGTAATATGTCTTTGATATTACACATTTGGGCAATTCCACGTTAATGTTACGTTAGTCTGTACTTAACTACGTATTTCACTAAAAATGCAACATTTTAACTCGGTTTTTGGTAGATTTTTACTTGACTAACATAAGGCTACTGTGGAAGGGCCCATTTCGGTTACAACGACATTCGTTTATAACGACACTATTTTTAGGTCCCTTTGATGACGTTATAACCAAGTTCTACTGTATATATATATGTGTGTGTGTGTGTGTGTGGTTTGTTTTACGTTGCTGTCAGCGTTGACTGTTTAGCGTTGAAAGGTAGAATAATTGTTGAATTGGAAAGAATTTGGAAAGAAGCGATCATGACCTTCGAGATACTTTCTCGAAATTTGTCTTACGGGACTGAGAAAATCCATTAAAACACGTAATTCGGATAACCAATGTCCTGGCCGATATTTGATCCGAATACCTCACGGTAGCTTTACCTCTACACCAGCCTGCTTGGTGAAATACACACATCTCTCATCAGTATGTAGCTGCATATCTTTAATAATTTTTACTGGAGGTCGGTCAGTTCATCATTTTGAAAGAGGTTAAGCGAGTGAGGAGCGAAGCGCCGTTCTCTTCCTGACGCTGTGTTCTGAATTCTAATTTAACTATACGTTTTAGAAAGGTTACCTACGGGATAGTGGTTCTGCATGTAAAGTCCCTTGCTTGCAGCAACGCTTGTGGGTTTAGTACGAGAAATCGATTGTCAGACTTGGTTTTCTTCAGCTTCAACAGATGGCAGTAATTGGGAATGACAATGGATCTAAATTACGTTCCTGACAAGATTAAGAGCAGATTTTAAAAAGAGCTCTATCTTCTGGAATTTAACGTCCTGTAGTCCGTTGAGCGAACCGACGTTTCTGAATCGTCTCTATCTTCAGGGTCGAAGAAGAAACTAGCGTGAAAACAGGTGGCAAGCAGCTTATTATTGGAAACTGAAGATGGAGGCGACATGTTCCTATGAAACGTCCGTTGACTTTCAACGGACTACACGTTATATCTGAGAATATATGACATTTTATAACCACCGCTGTGTGAGAACCTCAAGTCCTGCAAGAGCAGATGAAATTGGGTTCACAATTTATCACCATGATTCTCTGTTAGGTTTGTGTCAATAATTAATTAATTGTAGGAATATTAACTTTGGGTTTGTGCAATTGGGTAGGTCGGTGGTTTCCGAGCTTTGTAAAATGGCGCCTATTCAGCATAGCAAACAGTTCTTGGCGCCTCCCACTTTCTTAATTCTGTGTTCTGTTCATTTTAAAGTAAGACATTTGTGGTTTTATCTTTAATATTGTAGCGTATACAGCCGTTACTATGCAACGACCGCTAGATAGGCGGATATGCCAGTGTCGTTTCTAGTCAACGTCTCATCAACGAATCGACACGCAACAATAGAAGTATTGTTGGAAACGGGGTGTTTCTACGGTGGTCCGTGCCGAGAAGGCAGTTGGGGCGACCAAGTGAGTTATGTACGGGATGCTGTGAAGAAGAGGGACAGTTGAAAGGAGACGTCATCCAGAGAGGACTTGAGCGCGGAAGCTGAAGAATCTCCATTATTAGAAGGCGTTACCAGGGAACGGCTGGTAAAGAGATAGGCTGGAAAAGGCTTGCTAGTGCTGTGGTGGTTTGTGAGTTATGGAGATTAGCGGTGGAGCTGTAGTTGCTTGTAGTTTCGAGTCTTGTGTGTAAGTGGTCAGTAAATCCAATATCCAATCCAAACCCCCGTCGAGAGTCACACATTCGTGTGACAATATTTATAAAGTTTTACAAATTAATTCGGTTTTACTGTGTAAGTTTCCCAGAATAGCTCGTAGCTCCCTAACTAACTGGTCGCGCGCCCCCCTGAGCGGTAGGACGCCCCATAATTCGAAAATCACCGATGTGAAACAGAAGTTTTACATTATAGTTGTATGCTACATGTGTTACTTTTCGGGGTTACACTCAGATTCTGATAGTGGGTAATTTCCAACATAAACCTCCTCTGTGGTATAGTGGTAGGGTTCGTTGCCGCGGGAATATGATTACATAGTCGTTGCCCAGCAACGATAGGGAGGGATACATACATACATGCAGCCAGGTGATCTCATAAGCCTACTTTCATTTCTTACAAATAAGGAAAGTATGATAAAATAGGCCGCGACCGCTTCCAAATGCTTCGCAACTTATCATTCACAGTCACCCTGCCTTTCGGTTATATACAACCCTAACTGAGGTTTCCGAGATTGTCCTCAGTGCCTCTCTACTAATGCTGGGAGGAAACGTCGATTAGTTCACGACCGCTTCCTTCCAAATCCTTACCAGCACATTAATTAGTCATCCTGTCATTCAACGGTGTGGAATTTAACCACATAAGTAATCAATGCAGTTGAGAAAGCGTCTTTAAATAAGCTAACTAACTTCATGGAGCTGAGCCTTTCTTGAGAAGCCGCCAATCTGCAGCTACTCAAGAACTTCCCAGCATTTTATGGAACCCGAAGGTTCATTACCGTGTTCACAAGAGCCCTCCACTGGTCCCTATCCTGAGCCAGATTAATCCAGCCCATAAAACCCCATCCTATCTCTCTCAGATCCATTTTAATATTGTCTGCCGACCTACGTGTTGGTCTGTCTCCCTCTGGCTTTCCTATAAATATCCTGTATTCATCTCTGTTCTCCCCATCCATGCTACATGCCCTGGCCATCTCATCCTCATTAACTTGATCATTCTAATTATACTTTGCGAAGAGTACGAGTTATGAAGAAATAAAATAGAAAACAAACATAAAAATGTGATGATTTTGTAATAGGCTACAGCTGCAATACATTATTTTCCACTTGTTACATATTCACATCACCGAATGTCTTAGAAAAGTTCTCGGTTCGAATCTCAGGCAGGAGATCGTCTATTCAGATATTTCGTAATTGTCCTCAAGCCTGTTTAGTTCAGTGTTGCGATACAAGTCGTAGTGAGTCCCAGTCCCAGGCGGACTTGGCGTTCCTTCATTAAATTAACGTAAGCACAATGTAATAGTAATCGTAGAGAAGATGTAGGTACAGCCTGTAGTTCATCTTGTCGCTAGGATATGGACCCACCACTCTCGTCCGGTTGCACTTGGGTTTGCTATCCATTCCGTTCGAGGAAACTGGTACGCACGCGGCTGATATTCGTGGGTTTCCCAAGGACTCTCATTAATTCCATTCACCCACTCATGGAGCTGAGCCCTTCTTGAGGAGCCGCCAATTGTGCAGATACTCAAGAACTTCCCAGCATTTTATGGAGCCCGAAGGTTTATTACCGTGTTCACAAGAGCCCTCCACTGGTCCCTATCCTGAGACAGATCAATCCAATCAATACTATCCCATCCTATATCTCTAAGATTCATTTTAGTATTGTCCACCCACCTCCATCTTGGTCTTCCTAGTGGTCTGTTCTGACTTTCCAACAAA